CGGTGCTATACTGCACCCTGGTTGACTCATCTCTTCCTTGTGATCCTTCTGTGAGGGGCAAGCAGCTACTTTTATATGATTACTTGATGTAAGCAATATTAGTTTTACTTGTTACAGCACTAAAAATGATAAGAATATTTTTCTGCTTAAAGTATAGCAAACTAATAAAAGCCAAATATTTGAGTCTATTTAGGTCAGATAATAATATAAAAGATAATAAAATCAAAAGAGTTGTATTTAGATGCTTTCTTAACACCTAGAATGTTCTGAGTTGTGGAAAATTCAGAATAGCTGAAAATTTACTAACTTTATATTGAAGTCTGTGTCTTCGTCCTTTTAAGTGCATCTCCTTAGCATTGGGATCGTTAAAGCTGCACTCACATAATTTGCAATGGAACCGAATTACTTTGCCTTCATCATTTCGTACCTTGAAATGGAAAGAAACAAACAAATTTTAAGGGGTCAGAGTAGAAATGTTACAATAGAAAATTTCAACCATTAACCCTCAAAGAAAAGTCGGAAACAATTAATAAAAAAAAGATGAACGGCAATATGTATTATTTTTAAAGCATAATAGGCAATCCTTCTTATGAAGAAAAGAACGAAGAACAAAAATATCCATCAAAAATCTACTAAGTAATAGTGCTATACCACAGGGTCAGTGATTTTGCACACAACCACGAATGTTCAAAAAGAGAACCATTAAGTCTTTCAGTCAACACTTTGGCTGCTCAATTTGTGTGTGTGGCCAGGATCATTGTGTTTAGAATAAATTCATCATAAGAATGACCACCAAATAAATGGAAAGTTACTTTACATAATAATGACTGCAGGAAAAGGGGCACAAAAGTCAACAACAAAAAAACCTTGATGCCACTTAAAGTCCACTGTCATGATGTTGATTCCAACTCAGCAACCCCACAGGACAAAGTAGAATGGCTCCTTTTTTCCCCCCCGAGCCTATGGATTTTATGGGAGTAAACAGTCTCATCTTTCTCCTGTAGAGAGGCTAGTGGGTATGAACAGCTGGACTGTGGTGGGCTGTGAAATACTTAATGTGGTGACACCTAAGTGAACTGAAAAAATATGCATCTTAAAGCTCTTTTAACAAAGACCTCTTTTGGTATTTGTAATACTATAAAACATACTTGTCAGTTAAGTTTATTTGTTAAGGCATTATTTGTAAGCATACACAGTGAAGCCCATCTCCTCTCCCTCAGTTGCACAGCATTGGCACTCGAGTCCATACCTCCTCCACATAGTCATGGCCCACTGGCTGCACATCACTCTGCAAAGCAGCCAGAGATGCAGCTGTGACTGTTTCTGACACAGTATCTGGCTTTACTTCTGGCATCTGTACAGAAGTGACAGGACTACTTTTAACACATTCGGTTCCTTTTAGGTCTTCTGTCTTATTTCCTGTTGACTGTAGTTTATTACCACCTAGAAAAGTTTAAAATAGTACAGTAATTTTAAGTTTAAATTTATATAAATTAAAAATTTATATAAATTATATACAACAAAAACTTCACATAAAACCTCTTATCCTTCTACCAATACTCAAATTTCTGCTTGATATGCAATAGATAAGAACTGTGAAGGTTATATAAACTATTTGTTTCTCTCTTAATGAAATAAATTTCTGACTCTTCCACTTTTCACCTCTCCACACCCCTTAGACCTCATGTTGGCGCTCAAGTACCTAAAATTGAGATTCAAATACCTGACAGGCTAAGAATGCAATCTAACTCATGTTATTTCCCTAGTTTCTTGCCTAACTAACCAAATGAGTATCATTTATTCTTTTATAGAAAGCTCAATGACTACTTTTCACTGAAATCTTTTAACAAAAAAAAGTTGAATCAAGTTTTCCATTAAGGATGGAAACAGAAAAAATTTGTTTTCAATTTAAAATTAAAAAAAGGGGGGGGAGGGGAATGGAAATAGAACAAATTCAGGCTTTTGCGCTGCTTATTTCCTTCAACTTATCTAATGAAATTAGTCCTGTAACTCACACTTCATACACAAAAGATGTTCTACTGTGGTTTTGCAGAGAATGTGAATGACCTTAAAATTTGAAGAAATAGAAATCAAAGATTTTAATCCTTAATTAACTTTAAGTAGCTGTTTACCAGAATAGCAGACTAATCATGCATTTTCTGCTTTAAATTGCTTTCAAAAACATTAAGAATCTACTTCACTCTGGGCCTTGAGCTAAGTACTGATAATACTGCAGAACCACGTGGCTGCCTTTGAGGTGCCCACAACTTAGGCACCTCAAAGACAAAGAATTATGTTAATGTGCTCTGTGCTGGCATACACATGATGGAGTATGGTGGGGTTGTACAGGGAAGAACTACCATCCTTTAACTTACTCGTTAGCAATGGGTTCACAAAAGAAGACACTTCAGTTGGGCTTTGAAAGAAATGAGTGTGAAACAGTTAAGCAGAGAGAAGGGAATGATACACTAAATAAAAATAGGACGTACACAAAGACACCTGGAAAGTAAAAAGACTCTGGCAAACTCAGGACGGAGTCAGTAACTACTATGAATTAGTATTTGGGTAAGCGTGGCAAGAGATGGGTTTAGAAAAGTAAGCAGATTGTGCCAACATTTCAGATTGTGAAGGGCTTTAATCCGACATAAGAAATAAAACCCTTTTCTATATGCAAAAGGGAGGACACTGATAATTTTTAGCAAATTACTGATTTTTTAGTGAAATTTCAATCTTATTGACTGCCTCATCTAATTTACACGGTCACTTTGTTTTCTGCACTATTGTACTTCCTAAAGCACGTCTTCGCTGTGGTTATGGGTAGGCCTTCGAGGAGCTTCTCTTTAGAGGAGACGGGTTCTCCCTTCCCTCTCTTCCAGGATATTCTCCCTAATCCTGTCCAAGTCTTTTAAAATCACCCATCAATGAAAAAGCAGCAATTTTGTAGATTATATCATGAAAATTTCATGATAATGGGTTGGTGTGGAGCACTCAGGGCACGACCTAAGGGGTCATGAGGCTAAACATAAGAGTCCTGATGCCCGGGAAGTCTGAGTTTGTTCAAAAGATTTGAAAGTCCCCGCACATATGGGAATGGACAAGGCTGCCCATAATCCTAGGTGAGTTGATTGACAGGAGCTAAAGTCACAATTTTAGAACCACCACCAGGAGCTCCGAGGGAGAAAGACTGGGTTTTTTTATGCCCATAAACAAGTACTCTTTGAAACACACAGGGGGGTTGCTATGAGTCAGCACTGATTTGATGGCACAGTGTGTTTGTTTCTGTACCATCTACTGAACATGCAGGCAGAACCAATAAAAATACTCAAGAAAAATACAAAAAAATATATTTAACAGACAGAAAGAAGTAGCTTAAGCTTTGAAGGTACAGTAGTCATCTGTGTCAAATGCCAGAGCTCACCAAAATGAAATTGAAAACAAGCCACTGAATTTGGCAATTAGAGGCTGTTAAGTGACTGCTGAAAGCAGTTTCGGAATAGAGTGAACACACTACAACAGACTTGAGAATTGGATAAAAAGTACAGAAAGAATTAGGTTAGGCACCAAAGTCAAATAAGTACTATCTCATGCAAAGAAGACTGGTTTAAAAAGATGAATGATAACCTAAGGAAAATAGTTGCAATCTATATCACTTGCAAAGATACTACCAAACAGTTTCTAAGGCAGCATATGAGAATCCTAGGTGATTCTCATCCTTTCCAACACTTGATATAATCAGCCTTATAATTTTATACATTCTGCTGGACTGTCACGGGATCATAATCTGGGCCAAATTGCATTTGCTTGATCAGGAATTGTATTTTGTATAATTGTGGTATTGACTACTTAGATCTCCTTTGGGGAGTCAGGGTCTGTTTTAGGGTTATATAGATTGCCTGTTCACAGTCTCTCACAGTTTATTCTCTAAAAAGTGTCTTTAGTTTAATATCTGGAAAACAATAGAAGTCTACTTCAGAAGTTGATCTCTTCCATCACTTAAAAAATGTTAAAGCTGACTGTGGTGAGGATCGCACAACTTTTCTTAATTTGATTGAAATATTTAATTGTAGGATATGTTAATTACACCTCAATAAAATTATTTTCCAAGTGTCAAAAAAAAAAAAAAAAAAAAGAATTAGGTTAGGAGTAGAGAGAATTACATGAAGAGGGACGGGGTGGGGTGTGTGTGCAAGACTAAAGGAAGGGAAGAAACAAAGTAGAGATATTAAAAATTCAAGGGAGAGAAAATCAGAAAAGCCATGGGGGATGAAACAAGGTCCTGGAGATGGAGATGGTATAAGAATATAAACTGAAGGCTAGTCCTAGAGTGGAGGAGCATGTGACACCACTTTGAAGAGGTTGGAAGGAACTTAAGAGAATCTCCAGTACTTGCCAACAAAGTTTATTTTGGGTGTAGATGTTTTCTTGGCAGCCATATTTGTAGGCAGTGTGGACCCTTTAGTGTTGGCTGTGATGTTCAGAGACGAGCTCCCGGTACTTGTTAAACCTTTCACCGAAGAAGCTGCAATTGCTGAAGTATTCACAGTACAATTGCTTGCTGCAAGGCTTGAAGGAGAGGCAGCTGGTTTTGAAGCAGATATAGCTGTTGAAGAAGTAGCTTGGCTAACAACATTTGGTTCTGTTGAAGGAATGGGTTTACCAAGTTTTGTGTGTAATTTAACCACCTACAAGACAAAAGCACATTTACTTGTCAGAAAGCCCATAGCATAGATTTAACACCCCCACCCCCAACAATCCATTATGAAATGAAAAGCAAAATGGTGTCTTTCTTAATATTGGTTATTAAATATTTTTACAAGCAAAATTATTTTCACAATATTTTTCTGAAGTATATACGTATATATATTCCATCTATCACCGGAGAAAGATCACATAAATTGGCCACAGAAATACACATTTGTATATATAAATACATATTTTAAAACATTTAAAAAATGTATTTTGTTGTTTAGAGTGGTATCACAGTGAAACATATACCAAGTCAACAGTTTCTACACGTATAATTCAGCGCCACAAGGCTAATTAGAAAGTATTGTTACTAGGGTTCCAATTTACAGCAGTATTAGTATTCTAAAAAAAAATGTCTCTGTGGTCAGGGGATAACCACAGACACATTCTCTCAGAAATACACTTGTTCCAGTTTGTCTTATTAGGGTACCTTCAAAAAAATGATCAAATCAAAGTCAAATAAAAATAGGGGCTGCTGAAGCAAACTGCTGGGCCAGTTACATCCAAGGTGGAGAGGTCATTTTAGAAGATTATGGTGACTATTTTTGGGGAGTCCAAATAAGGTGTATTGATAAGATTTCTTCAAAGGGTATTGGATGATCACAGGTGTTAACTAGAAAGAAATTTTAATATGCAGACTGCACTGGTGAGAAAAGGGTGTAGGAAATTATGTCTTTCCCCCATCACTACAGCAAACCTGATCACTCATCAAGTCTGACAAGTTATCCTAAAAAAATTTTATTGAGAAACCTTACCCCATATTTACCCTGCAGCCTTGATCTTGTCCCTTCAGACTTCTATCTGTTCCCTAAACTCAAAAGAGCATGTAAAAGAACACAATGTGAGTCTCTTGAGGATGCCAAGGAGTCCTTGATAGTACAGTGAACAAAGTGTTGGGATGCTAACCAAAAAAACCATGTAGGCAGCTTGAACCCATCTGCCTCCTCCTAGGCCAGTGGAGGTCTCATGCCACGACCCTTCAATACAGTTCCTCCTGTTTTCGTTGCTACTTCCTAACTGTAATATTGCTGTTATTAAGCAGGCGACCCCTGTGAAATGGTGTTCCGACCCCCAAAGGGGTTGCGATCCACAGGTTGAGAACTGCCGTCCTAGTCAGAAGATAAAGCTGTCCTCTTTCATAAATTTTTACAGCCTTGGAAACCTTATGAAGCAGCTTTTATTAAAGAAAATCTCCAAAACTCATTGCCAACGAGTTGATTCCGATTCACAGCAACCCTATAGAACAGAGCAGAACTCGGCTGTGGGTTCCCAGGGCTGCAACTTGTTATGAAAGCAGAAAGCCTAGTCTTTCTTCTGCGTCTTAGCTGGTGGGTTTGAACTGTGGACCTTGCTCTTAGTAGTCCACAGGGTCCATGGTAGTGGTGGTAGAGGATTCCAAAACTGGTTTTGATCGGGTGTAACTGAAGGGTACAAAACTCTTCACGGAAGGGTTAGAGCTATGGAAACACTACCATCAGAAGAGTATAAACCTAGATGGAGGATGTCAAACAACAATGGCTTCACCTTTTGATAGTTTTCTAAAATAAAAGTTACTATGATTTTGTAGCCAATACTTTTTTACTTTCCCCTATATTCTTTGAGTTGTGCAAACATTCTCAAACTCCTTTTCTGAATTGTTCTCTCATTAACATAAGTTCACCAAGCCCATAAATATCCCATCTAATCTTTCAAGTTGCTGTTGTCAATTTGATCCCATATAGACATATCTAGAGAGATCATGTATGGGCGGCAGTTGTTCCGAGAAGCTTTGTGCCACACACTCCATATGCTACTGCTATTCCTGAATTGATCCAGGCAAATAGAGACCAATCGTTCTGCCTTTGTTATACATTTAAGCAGGGTAAAAGGCAAAAATAATCACATAATTTCAGATTATCTGAAAAGGTGAACCACAAGTGCAATGTAAAGTTCTGTGTTTCTCTCCCCTTTCAGCCACTGTTGCTGCTATGGATGTATTCTGCTTATAATGCAGTCAGTTTGTAAATCATAAAGCCACCTTTACCAACACCCACATTGGAAAAGGCTTAAAAGAAAGTACGACATCAGGCTGTGTAGGGGAAAACCACCTACTTTCTGATGCTTAGCACCACGGATGTGGGCAGCATATGCATCTGCTCCGGTACAAGACACATCGCAGAGCTCACAACGTAGCTGATTTTGAGTCCCACGAGTAGAGTTGTTGCTGCTGCTGGTATTTTGTGAGGCTTTCAATGCAGCTTCTTTCTTTTTATGTTTCTGTCCTTCTAAATGTTCTTTATAAGTCTGTTTCAAACAAAAAGGACAAGCGCTTCACTCATTTTCTACTTCACTTAAAAGTATTTAATCCTTAAATTTCTCATATGCATTTAAAAATTAGCACTAAGCAATTTTTACTTCTAACATCTTTTAATAGAAAATTTTTTTAACCAAAACAAGCTTACATGTTGACACTTAAGGCCTAACTGGAACAAATCTTTCCAAATCCAAGCAGGTAATTACTGGTGATACTATATTATAGCAGAGTTCCACTAAAACAACGGGTCCTACTTCCATTACAAGACCCCACCCTTTTTAAAGTGGTGTCATTGGCATATGCGTCACATATCATAAAATTTAAACACTCAACCATATTAAGAAGAGTTCACCATCACAATCAATTTCATAACATTTTCTTCTCATATTTGTTACCTCCCCCTTCCTTCCCCTCTCCCCGCCCACTAGCTTCCCCTGCCATGCCCCCCTAAGGTTACTTTAATCCATTCTTCCTCTCTAGATGTACCTATTCTGGATTTCTTAAAAAATATGTGAAAAATCCCCAATAATAACAAAGTCAAAAATCTCAGTCAAGAAGTGGAAAATAGTGAAAACTGAAACAACTTAAAAATGGGTCAAAAGGGAGCTCAAAGGTAAGATGTTATATCTTAATCTAACTACATCTGTCATAATTGACTTTACAGTACTCTCTGCTCATAGCAAGGCTATTCATCTCACTGGACTGTGGTCAGAGGGGATTCACAGGAGACTTAATCAATGTGGGGACCCTGCAAATAAATGGTCATCCACTGTCATCCACAGACTTCTACAAACCGGGTATTGAGAATTTAAGCCCTGATACTGTTCCCTGCTCTGGATTTGAAGAATGAAATAATTTAAAAAGCTGCTGGACAATAACATCTTCTAATAGAGCCATAATATAAGTTAGCTGCTTTTAAGTTTCAAATTTTTCATATTTTACTGTTTAAATATATTGGACAAATAAATGAAAATAAACAAAAGTGGTTATTCCACAAAGAAATTACTTAGTTACAGAATTAAGAAGAGTTAATATGGGGTAACAGGAAATATCTATACAGTGAACAACAAAAGAGACCAAGAGCCCAACAACATGGAAACAAGGCTCCTAAATAGAAGACTGACTATGTCTCTAACTCAATGTATTTTCACAGAGAATTCACCTAGCATCTATGTCACCCTGGGAAAAGGTCTTATGAGTCAAAATTGTACTGCATATTTGTAAGGAAAATCTGTATTAGTATAATACTAGCCAACACAGAAAAATCTCATTAAAAATGGTCCTGATTGCAGATGACTGAAGAAGGTAGTTTCCTCAAATGAGGGGTGGCTGCCAAGAATGGCTGTGTAGTGTTCTGGTTTATTTCATTTTGCTGAGTGGGACTAGTTTTTTCTTCTTCTTCTATTTTATAAGACAAAATATTGTGACTCATGCGACATATAAATTAAATATAAAATTCTATATTGTAGAATTTCAGAGCTGGATGGGATCTTGGAGATTACCTAAAACCACAACTTTCCACTTTTTAAGCAGAACTTTTTCTTCAAATGAAACCTCACAAACCAGTGGAGTTGCTGCTTTTACACCACAAGCGGGAAGCCCCAAGTTTCAGCCACTTGATTCTCTTCTTATTATACATTTGCAGTGGCCTGAAGCAGCTCCGTGAGGCACTTTCAGGCTTACCGTAATACTCGTGTATAAGCCAAGTTTTGCAGCACATTTTTAATGCAGCTTTTGTGGTAAAATTAGGTACCTCAGCTGATATTCGGGTCAGCTTATATTTCAGTATATATGGTCCCTATTTAGGACAACTGCTTACAACAGAAGTAAAGAAACACAAACCAAAGAAGTTGAGGCTGTGATTTGTCTAGGGTCACACCGTCAGCCAGGATTAGAAACTTGGCTCATCAACCCCTCTTGGCCTGATCTAACGTGTGGCCATTCAGGTCCCCTGGGCAACTACACATGTATTCCTTCCAACTGCTGTTGTTCTATTCTTCAGAAGGGCACTCGCATACCCAAGAAGGTTTTAAGTCTCCCCTTACCCCATCATTCCCTCAACAATCATCATTGCACAGTTTAATACAATACTCAAATACCATGACCCTTGCTCCCTGAAGATGCAGGCTAACCATACAGCATAAGTACCTGTGGTCCAGCACAGCTGATTTTACAAACATCACAATAGTGAATCTGGGGTGGCTTGGGAGGCTGTTTTGGTTTCAGTTGTTTGTTTTGGAATGGTGCTTTTTTAGTAAAGGTGGTCCCCGTCCAGGCAGCTGTTGCTGCTGCCGCCGCTGCCGCTGCCGCTGCCTGCTTCTGTTGCTGCTGTTGCTGTTGATAGTAGGAGGATGCAGCCGAATAGACTGCAGCTTCATAACCTGAATAAGATGTACCTGACAAAGGAAAATCAAACAAGTTAAGAACAAAAACCAAGATGAAATTTACAAATTTAAATTTGATAAATCCTGCTAATTAAAGTAGATCTACATATGCACAATAAATTATACATCTCTCAAATAACCTGGAGAAAATCTTGTCTTCTTTTCACTTAAGTCAATTCGGAAGTACTCAGAACACAATGCCAAGTATTACAGAGGTATAAAGAAAATTTAAAATCTGGTCCCTGCCTTAAGGCAGATTAAATCTCAACAGAAGGAATGTGATGCAGTGCTTGACAAACTTTAGTTACAGAACCTCTTAATATTTCTTCAAGCTGGGTTCCTCTTAACACAATTTGGGCAGTGGTGAATGTGAGGAAGGTGTGGACTAGGATACCAGTTAGGCAGAGAAAACAAACAGCACATCGAGGGAAGATTGAACCTGCTTGGTGGCTAAGAGGTGGAAAGAGGGAAACCACGATGACACCAAGACTTTACGCCCAATGACCGACTAGTGGGTTGTGTTGCTGAGAAAGCTGAGAAGCCTACAGAAGCTGCAGTGAGCAGGCAGGCTCGGTAAAGCTTAGCAGATGAGGACTGGGAAATTAGAAACCAAATACTTTGGTTCTCATCTTTCTCCCAGTAGGTACAAAAAAGCACTATTTTCCTGCTTAAACATGTATGGATTCTATCCCTGTCTACCACCCAAGGCTGATAGCAAACAAGAATGCTATGCTAGATATTGACATGATATATGAATGGTATGTGGTTTATTAAGTGTACATATTCTACACCAGCCACATTTTAAATCTGACAGTTTCCGATTTAAAAGCTTACCTCAAAATTGAAATACTATGCCTTCTAAACTAAGATCTCAGAATTTTGGAGATTCTTTTTCCCTAAATGGTAATGGGTGGGAGTAAAAACTTGCATAAGGTTCAGAAGAGAGATGCCTAGCTGCTGTTATAGCATAGAACCAAAAGAGAAGTGAACCCTGAGCTTCTGAATGTAGAATGCTTTTCCTACAAAGATTTCTTACCTACTGACTCCAATATATGAGGGGACTTTAACATGTCCATGGAAAAATGGAACTAAAAGAAAATGAAAATTTCCCACAAGCTTTTCGAAATACTCATGTATCTGCACACCACTGCCAACGAGTCCATAGTGACTTAGAGCAGCCCTACTAGAGGAGCATATAGCCTCAAATTTTCCCCAGGGAGCAGCTGGTGGGTTTGAACTGCTGACCTTTCAGTTACCAGTCCAACACATACCTAGCAGCACCACCACACTACTTACATCTCCATACACAGGGAAGAAAGAATAAACTGGCACGGAGAGTTAAGATGCACAGGAAATCAGAATAGAAGGAAACTGACACTAGACTTAGCCAGGAGAGAAAGTATCAACAATTTTTATGAAAAAATTAAGCACAAACATGTAAAAACCAACTCACTCTCACTCACTGCCTGTCTCACACTCCCCGTCTCACTCTCACTCACTGGCTTATTCACTCACTCTCACTCACTCATTCACTCACACAATCACTGTCTCACTCTCACTCACTGCTTCACTTGCTCACTGCCTCACTCACTCTCTCACTTATTGACTCACACACTCACTGTTTCACTCTCACTGTCTCAGTCATTCACTGCTTCACTCTCACTCACTCATTGTCTGACTCACCATCTCACTCTCACTCACTGGCACATTCACTCTCACTCACTGTCTGACTCTCACTCACTGGCACATTCACTCACTCATTCACTCACTCACACACTCACTCTCTCACTGTCTCACTCACTGCCTCACTCTCACTCACTGGCACATTCACTCACTCTCTCACTCATTGACTCACACACTCACTCTCTCACTGTCTCAGTCACTCACTGTCTCACTCTCTCACTGGCACATTCACTCACTCTCTCACTCACTCACTGACTCACACACTCACTCTCTCACTGTCTCAGTCACTCACTGTCTCACACACTCACTGTCTCACTCTCACTCACTGGCACATTCACTCACTCTCTCACTCATTGACACACACTCTCTCACTCACTATCTCACTCTCACTCACTGGCACATTTCACTCACTCTCTCACTCATTGACTCACACACTGTCTCACTCACTGCCTCATTCTCTCACTGCCCGACACACACTCACTCTATCACTCTCACTCTCTGTCTCACACTCCAACTATCTCACTCACTCATTGACTCACTCACTCACTGTCTCTCACTCACTGCTTCATTTGCTCAGTGACTCACTCACTGGCACATTTTCTCATTGACTCACACACTCACTGCCTCTCTCACTATCTCACTCTCTCACTTATTGACTCACACACTCACTGTTTCACTCTGTCACTCACTGATTGACTCACACTCTTACTGCCTCACTCTCACTCTCTCACTGCCTCACTTACTCACTACTTTACTCTCACTCACTGCCTGTCTCAGTCTCACACTGCCTCACTGTCTCACTGGCACATTCACTCTCTCACTGCTTCACTTGCTCAGTGTCTCACTCACTCTAAGAAAAAATAAAAACAAACAAATAAAAAGAAACATGTAAAAACCCTAGTCATATAAAGCAAATTTATCAGTTAAGTAATATGCTTGAATTCTTTTCACAATATTGGCATTATGGATATGCAAAAGAATACAAGAAAGAATTCGGGCAAAGCATCATACAATACGCAACTTAGAAACTACACTGCTGCATCATTTGAAGATATGGTCTTATAAACAAAGAGATAAAGTAAATGTGACAAAACATTAATAACTGATATAGCCCAAGTGAAAATAAAGGAAATGATCAAGACTTAATTTTACTTAGATCTACAATCAATACTCAGTGAGACAAGAGTTGAGAATGGTCAAACAATGCATTGCATTGGGCAAATGTGCTGCCAAAGACCTCTGTCAAGTTTTCAAGAGCAAAAGTGTCACCTTGAAGACAAGGTGTCCTAACCCAAACCAAGTTATTTTCAACTGTCACATATGTATATGAAAACTGGACAATGAACAGATCAAAGAATTGTGCCTCTGAATTATGACGTTGGCAAAGGATACTGAATATACAACGGCTGCCATAAGAACAATCTGTTTTGAAAAAAACACAGCCAGAATGTTCCCTAGCATTGAGGAGGGCCTCAGTGGGCTCAGTTTTTTCTTTTCTTTCTACTCCTCGAGGGAGGGAGGGTGGGGGAGAAAATGCGGAGCTGATATCAAGGCTTAAATAGAAAGAAAATGCTTTGAAAATGATGATGGCAACAAATGTACTAATGTGCTTGACACAATGGATGCATGTATTTATTGTGATAAGAACTGTAGGAGCCTCCAATAAAATGATTTTTTTTTTAAAGTGAGGATGGGAGATAGCAGTGTATAACATGAAAATAATAATTTATACTTTTATCAAGGATTCATGAGGGTGTGACGGTGGGGGAGGGACAAAAAAAAGGAGCTAATATCAAGGACTCAAGTAGAAAGAAAATGTTTTGAAAGGGATGGTAACATACGTACAAATGTGTTTGATACAATGGATGCATGGACTGTTCTAAGAGCTGTAAGATCCCCCCCGTAAAATTATTTAAAATTATTTTTAAAAAGTGAGGATGGCTAGACTTAATATCTCATACTTTGAACATATTATCAGGAGGGATTAGTCCTAGAAGGTCACGTCATGTGTGGTAGAGGGTCACCAAAAAAGGGGGAAGGCTCTCAATGACATGAACTGATACGGTGGCTGCAACAATGGGCTCAAACATAGCAAGGATTGTGAGGATGGCACAGGACCATGTGGCAATTCATTTGCGATACACAGGGTAGCTCTAAATTAGAACTGACAGGATGGCATCTACAATACATGAATGACATGGTGTTCACTGTACTATTGCCTGAACTTTTCTGCAGAATAAAAAAACACTTTGACTTTTCCAGTCGTCTTTTGATACGTACCCTATATTCCAGCCACGTTCCCAAAGCCTCCACTCCTTAGTGATACACCAGCACCCACTATAGCCTTTGTCATAGATCAAGAGATGAAAAAAATCTCTGAGAAATAAAAAGCGTATTTGCTAGGCCTCTGAAACCCAAGCTACAACACACACACACACACACACACATACACACGCATGTGTAACTTGCATATATCAGCTTAAATTCTCGGTAGAACAAGATAGCTTTTTAAGGCATAAACAGTAGATAAAGCAATAGATTGTACAGCAATTCAAGGCTGAGTGTCTACAAAAGTGTATCTAAAACTTAATCACTGTTGTGATTAAGGAACAATCTTAGTGGGAATTTAGCAAAAGTAGTACACACATGAGGGTTTTAGTGAGTATACTTCCCTGGGAAAATAAGCGATTTCTTAAGGCTAATAAAAATGAGCTGTCCTACCAAAATAGGTGTATTAAATAAGCATCATCTTATGGATCTTTATTCTTAAAAATCATTTTATTGGGGCTCTTACAGCTTTTATAAATTCCATACATCAATTGTATCAAGCATCTGTACACATATGACCATCATCATTTCCAAAAACATTTTCTACTTGAATCCTTGATATATGGCTCCTCTTTCCCTCCCCCCGACCCTCGTGAATCCTTAATCAATTATATATTGCTATTATCATCTTACGTTGTTCATTTTCTCTCTTCACCCACATGTCTGTTATTCATTCCCTTGGGTGGGGGGCACTATATATCCAACCTTGTGATGGGTTCTCCCCCTCCCCGGCCACTGCCCTCTCTCCTCATGATATCACTACTCCCACTACTGTTCCTGAGGGGTGTATCTGTTCTGAATTCCACATGTCGCGAGCTCTTATCTGTACCAATGTATGTTCTCAGTCTAGCCAGATTTGTAAGGTAGAACTGGGTCATGGCAGTGGTGGGTTTGGGGGGAAGCATTCAGGAACTAGATGATGTCCGTGCTGTACTGCACCTTGGTTGAATCATCCCTTCCTTATAATCCTTCTGTGGGGGGATATGCAATTTTCTACACATGGGCTTTAGGTCTCCACTCCAACCCCCCTCGTTCACATCGATATAGTTGTTTGTTTTGGATCTGCTGATTCCTGATATCTGGTCCTCAGGGATCTTTATAAGAGGCTGAAGAGTATTTTCAAGATCACGCATTATTGCTAACAAATATGAAGAAACAGCTCTCCAAGGGCTGAAATAGCAGTATGTATAATACGCTAGTGGCATTCCGAGTGTTGACTATACATGTTGATCTTCATTTGGAAAACTCAAAAAATTGCACAATGATTTATCTGTCACATCTGTATGTTATGTATGTTTTCATTGCCATTGAATGGATTCCAATTCAAAGTGACCCTACAGAACTACTCCTATGAGTTTCCAAGACTACTAATCTTTAAAGGAGGAGAAAGCCTCACCTTTCTCCTGTGAAGCATCTGGTGTTTTAGAACTGCTGACCTGGCAGTTAGTAAGACAATATGTAACCTTTATACCACTAGGTCTCCTTTGTATCTATGTTAACTCCTACCGATTAATTTAATTCTTGCTATCAGAAAGTAGTTACACACACACACACACACACACACACACACACTCTCTCTCTCTCTCTCTCTCTCTCTCTGAAGAAAGTGTGTTCTGGTGTCTCTGTAATTTCTTTACTCATTTTTAAGAACATGGGTTATCAGTCTTACCAGAATAAGTAACTGCTGTGGTACTATAAGTAGCACTCTGGGTATAGGATGGCACCACAGTGGCTGCAGCTGCTACTGGCTGTACGGTGGAGGAAACAGGATAAATGGAGAAAGTAGTGGTAGCTGGACTTGGTGTGGCTGGTTTTATGGCTGTCACTTGTCGAGTTTGTTGAGCTTGAGTATACTGAGTTGCACCTTGGCTATAACCTGCTTTGGGGGCTAAATGGGAAAGGAGACACCAGATAATTAAAAGCACAAGCCACCATAGTTACTACACCAGTATCATTAAAACCTAAAACAATAGATGCGAGCATTACTAACTATAAATTTTATGCCAGCAATTTCTTTTTAGCAAAAGGAATAAAATTTCATTACCAAAATGAAAAAATTAGTTCATTTAATTTACTAGCTCTTCTTAAATGCATTCCTATATTTTCGAAATGGAATTTTGGCAAAATCCAGAAAATAAGTGAAATGCCAGTCCTCCCTACAAATGGCAGAAGTTTTCAGAAAAGTTGTGTATGTCTAGGCTAATGAATTTTTGAGATTTATGTTTAATGTTAGACTGGAATGAGGAAGAATCTCAAAGTACATATTTCCATTCACAATGAAAGTTTCAAAGTTAAATGATAGGAAATTTGCTCATAATCTATTCACTGCATTTCATGGATTTATCTATAATGACTTTAAATATAATTCTAACTCAGGATGCTGCTGATTTAATTCTTCAAATGCCAATAGTTTTGAGTTCAGCAGTTCTTAAGTGGCTATCCTTAAAGTCTCTTAAACTTTTTGCTACCTCTAATCACATTCAAAACAAATATATACGCCTACTCTTCTCTTGCCAACTATCCTGTTATTTGACATTTACAAAAACAGCAAAAAAAAATCTACTGTCTATTTTGCTCATTAATGACATATGGCTGGCAGTTATTGACACTAGGGTGGTAAGGGAGAGTAACACTGGTCATGTGCCCATCACGATTCTTAGTGGTTTGGCAATTATGTAATGATATAATTTAGAGGTGGTATGCACAATGCCAATTTTTACATTAATGACCCAGGTTTTTGGAACCTAACACATCAGTGAGCGAGTAGGTGGGTGTACTTCTAAGAATTTTATGAGCCATATTACCAATCAATAAATTGGTAATTAATCACTTATGAATAACCACTAAAGTATACCGATGTATTTTCTGATAAAGGTCTAAATATCAGGAGGCCAACCATTTTGTACTAAATCAAAGGAACCTAACATAAACAGCACTTAAGTGTTTATATTCTGTACCCAGTACAACAATAAAGAAATCCTAAGAAAATCAGGTCATTTTAATTTTAAGTCAAAATATTTTAAAATTAATTTTAAAGAATTCAATGTCTTAGAACTGAAGCGGATCCTGAGGATTTGCCTACGGGGGAAAAAAAATGAAGAGAGGTAAAAAACCCCTTGCTTGTGTCAGTATTAAAGGTAGCAAGGGGGGAGAGGGAAAGACACTATTAGAAGCTGATTCTACTTTCATTTTCTAATCTAAGCCTCTACCAACACACTTGTGGCAATTTAAAAATATTTAAAATAAAAGAGTTGACCAACTCAAGAGAGCTTTGTTTGAAATGTTCTCAAATATCATGGAAATAAAAAAAGAAAGAAAGAAACTTTTTGTCTACATGTATGTGAGTTTCTTTGCAAACAAAACATTTTCTGTATTTGGACCATTATACAAGGGTGCTTCAAAAAGCTTGTGGACAAATGGAATGAAAAGACAATGAAATTTTCCAAGCCTCTGAAACCCCTAATATAATAATGCATTTAATTGTCAATGGTAGCTGGTAAGAGAATCAATTTTATTACAGATCAATGAAAGAAAGGGGGTGGGGGTGGGAACGATGGCCCATAAAGGTTTTCCATTAGTTTTAAGGCCAGATGTCAGGATATTCTGAGCATTTCTGACACAGAAAAAACTATGGCCAGTTTTCAATACACCTCTGCACAAGTCCCTCCCCTCTACACCCCAGTAGGTCAGGAGCTGTAAGCTGACGACCAAAAATGGAGTACATTTTCAGAAAAGAAGGGCACGGTGAACTGACTCCACAGTCAACTCTCCTTGAGACTCAAAAGCTTTCCACTACGGCAAGATTAAGAATCTGTTGGAATCTGGTTGGAATTTGTCTTCAAAGTGACATACACAATAAGTTTAGATGAATTCATGATCCTATATTCAGGGTGGGGGCAAGAGGGAGAAAAGGGGGAGCTGATAGCAAGGGGCTCAAGTAGAAAGAAAATGTTTTGAGAATGATGATGGCGACATATGTACAAATGTGCTCGACACAATGGATGAATGTATGGATTGTGATAAGAGCTGTATGAGCCTCTAATAAAATGATTAAAAAACAATAAAATGATTTTAAAAACCCATAACACAATTTCCTCATAAATAAAACTCAGTCTCGCTTAAAAAAAAAAAAAAAGATCACATCTTCATTAAAAAACATATCCAAACTTGTATTTTAGTAGTTTACAGTGAAACTGGGTATGTGAACACACTTACCTGTCTGATAGTAGGTTTCAGCAACAGAAGGCTGAGGCTGGGCAGCGGCAGCCACAGCAGCAGCAGTAGCTGTTGGTTGTTGGTAGTACTGCTTACTATCATAAGCTACAGCAGGGGCTGTGGATCTTACATACGAGTATGAGTCCTAAAGAAAAGGGAATGAAAAAAAATCTTGCCATAAGTGAAGTGTCAGAGAAAACAAACATCTTTTATACTTAAAGTCTAATAAAGGGGGAAAAAAACCCACATCAAATATGAACATAGACACGAGTCAAATCTAATACTAAAAAAGATTCAATTGGACTTCATAATCAAACAAGATCAATACCAGTTCAAGCAGCATGTTTAAGTTTTACACGCAGAATTCACTGAAACATGCAAATGTTATTAAAACATTCATGACACTTTTTCCTTAAGGATTCTACAGTATTAGAAAAGACTACATGTTTGTTCTAAATATTATTCCAGCTTTATCTTATTCTCTCTTATTACTACCATTAGCATAATGATGAGTAGATGCTCTCCCAGGTAGAAGGGAGAAAAGAAGGAAGAGGCAGGGAGTCCTAGAAAGAAGGGAACACATATTCACAAGACTAAGACAGTGAAAGTTCATGGTTAGCTAGATAAGTGCTGGTGCTGCACCAAGTGAGGAAGGGTGAGCGTATGGAGGTTGTTAAGACTAAGGAGACAAGACCCAGAAAATGAGGTGTTTAGCCCGAAAATGCAAACTTACCGCCATCAAGTCAATTCCAACTCACAGTAACCCTATCAATCCTACTTAAGACAATAGGTTCTGAGAACTAACAGAACCAAACATAAAATGAGTTACAAGAATTAGAACCAAACTTTATTAAATAAACTAGTAAAGCTAGTTTTGTTTTTAAACATAAGACTGTAAAATGAATTAGATCTTCAAGAAGCAATGATTAAGAGCATACTCAATCTGTCAGCCATGAGGTGAGAACACCACGTTGCCCATAGGAACGTACAGACAACAGAATTTCCCCCCTTGTTAATTTGTGAAAAGACAAGATGTAATTTATTTGTTCTTTGTAGCTTAGGCTCAGAGTTCTCAAAATAGCAGATATGGCTGTGTTCCAAGTGGATCTTTACTACCACCACATAGAAGGGTCAGCTTCGAGTCTTAATTTTTCTCAAAAAACCTGAGGTAAAATTTAAATATTTACCTAGAAATTAAAGTAAAACTTTTAAATTACAGTACACAGATACTTGTAGGAACTTCAAAAGTTCATAAAAAAAAATTCCCTTTTCTTTTCATCCCATCTTTACACAAACTCTGAAGTCTCCTTGAACAGTAAAGAAAGGTCTATTGTGTTTGTGTGGGCGTGCATGCATGTTGCTTATTAACATGAAATATTGATACAAGGAAACGTCATGCTTGGCCTATACCTGCAAATTACTTAGGAATGTACACATCTGCTTTCCTCTAGCATCTGCGGTATATTCTGGAAACCCAAAGTTTGAGAAGCAGTGGAGTGGGCGTGATGTCATACATCAGGCTCACTTAAGCCACCATTGTTAAAGGCCACTGAGAGAATTTTCTTACCTGGTAATTTTGCGTAGTAGCTGGGGGTGGTGGGGGAGGTGCTTCTTGCTGCCTCTGGGTATAACCATAGTCAGTTGCTGTGTGTGCGGTCGGGTAGCCTCCATAAGCAGCAGCTGTTGCAGCAGCTGCAACGGCTACTGGAGCAGGCCTGGCAACTGCAACCGTGGCGGCTGCTGGCGCATAGGCAGCAGTAACCGTGTGAGCAGCTACTGGAGCCTGGTGGACAGTGTAGCTAGCAACTGTAGTTGGATGAGAATAGGCTACACCCGAAGCTGGTTGCTGGCTATATTGTAGAGGGCAAAAATAAACAAAACACAACTTAATTTTAAAATCAAGCAACTTAACTTTTTAAAAAGTACATTTTCAAGTAATCTAATCATGGGCTAGGTAAGACCAACTATTTGAAAAATGTACTAACCCTCCAACTCAAGACTACATTTATTAGTGTTTTAAAATTTTTATTTCTTGATCTCACACATATTATGTTTCAATCCAGAGATCATCCTATCATCAAGCAGGGATGACAACTTGGGATAAAAAGTATTAGGAACAAAAAGTTGATTGAACAAAGAAAATTATGAAACTATTTTCCCCGTATGTACAGTTTTATAGTTTTTAAAGATCTACAAAGAAATCATATTTAAAAATACTGTATCTTAACATTCTAGGAAGAGTATTTCAGCAGCAACTATTACTCGGCATAAATACCTATTGTTCTAGAGCAGTGGTTCTCAACTACGGGAGATTTTTGTCCCCCGTGGGACACCTAACATGCCTGGACAAGTTTTGTGTATCTCTTATTATGGGGAGTGGCCAGGGATGCCATTACATGTCCTTCAATGAACAGGGCAATGCCCAGCCCCCAGTAAATTATTGCCTGAAGAACATCAATAATGCTGAGGTAGAGAATGGTGCTCTAGGGCCAACAATTAAATAACTATTCTCTTAAAAAAACATTTTTCAATTTATAGGTAGCATTTCATTATACATTATAATTTTTCTTAAAAACACTATAGCACATGTTGTAAGAGGCCCAAGACAAATATTTTGTAAACACAATCATTTAAACCCCCAAAAAGTACGTTTCCAAAAAAAATCAAATTTCCAGCTAAAATCCTTTTAGCTTATAAATTGAGAGCCTGTGTCAGATAAAAACTAGTCTATAGCTTTTAGCATATGAATGTACAGTGTATTTGTTTTTCTTAGGCTCTCTGAGTAATAAACTCAACAATTATAAGAAGAAATGCATTCTTTAAAAAAAAAGAGCGCTTCAACAGCTACTTAGCTGAAAGATTTTAGCTGACCACAAATTTTCATATGAGCCAACAGTTAAGAATAGCTGATAAGGAAAAATAAAAACTCTGACATAAGCTCATGTGGCCCTAATAAACTATAGTATCTGAATCATGGGGTTATAGCGCATACAGGGTCTTTTGTGCTGGGTGTGTAAACTATAGGGAAGTGGTATAAAATTTAAATTTGAAGTCATCATATTCTGTGTTATAGAAAACATTGATAAACTAGGAAGTGTCCACAGGAAGCCAACATGAAACTTATCAATCTGGGTGTTACTTTATACAGGCATCGGAGGTCGTGGGGACATTCTGTCTAAAAGAGGTGATTGGGGGGATAGGATAGCTGCCTACAAATAGAAGAGACTTACTCTATGCTGCTCCAGAGAACAGAACTAGAACCAATGGGTGGAAGTTACAGGGTGGCAGATTTCAGCCCAATATGAAAAAGAAAACAAAACAAAACAAAAACCTTAATACTTAAAACAGAGTCCAAAGAAACTCTTATAATTTCTATCTGGATGAGGTTTCCCATATTTTGATATTAAAATTTAATATTTTCTACATATATATGCCACTTATAACACAGCAAAAGCAAAGTTTGAAACTGGTTTGGGATTGACAGTCTGTGGATGATTTCATACCCTTTAAAGAGAAGGCCAAAACATAAATTAATTAAAAAATAAAATAAAGAGAGGGCCAATCCTACACTCCCTCAAAATCCTGCAAAGTTATTTAAGGAATTTCATATTTAAAATCTAAGTGTATCAATTATATGAAACTAGTATTTACCACTTAACCCTAGGGAAAGGTTTTTTAATTCCAGCCTGGCTAGGAGAGATTCTGTTTATGCAAAAGTTCAGATAGTCTTATTGGATTCCTACTGTTTCTACTCATCCAACTCATCCAATTATCTGTTTACATTTCTGGATCCCCAAACTTTATCCTCTAAGATCAAAGCAGAGTGTGAATGTCTATTCAACAAAGCAGGAATTTTAACTTAACATTATCTTTGCTTTTCTTTAAAAAATATTTTATCATGGTTAATATGAAATTTTACACAGCAAATCACATACCCATTTTAACAATTTCTATACAAATTATTCAATGACACTGGTTACATTTTTTCACATTTCACCATTCTCATGAATTTTGCTCTGGTTACACAGGTCCTGTCCAGTACTCTAATTTTCGTCTCCTCATCTTTAAATATTGACTATTTGATGATCTGTTTCAAAGGAGTCCATTACTCATGAATGATAGTATAAGCCAATCTGATATTTAGCTAAAAAGAGCCCTTCAGAGAAAATTTCAGCTTATGGTTTTTAATGAATAAGTCAGGGTGACAGTCTCCGGGAGTACTTTTATATCAACTAGTCCAGTATGTCTGGACTTTATAAACCCTCGGTATACTGTTGGTGGGGCTGTAAAATCATGCAGCCATGATGGAACACAGTATGGCACGTCCTCAAAAAGTGGAAAAAAATATAAATACAATGGTGCCCAGCACTACTCAGTATACATTCTTTAGAAATAAGGACCTCTGCAAAATGCCTCACAACACAGATGAAACTGAAGGTTATTATAGTGAATGGAATTCAAGAGTCACAAAGAACAAACACAGAGTCCACTAGTATGCCAAAAGAAGTTTTTTGCCCCAAAGGATGATTTACCCATAACAGGAGGGGACAGGGGGCAAATTAAGCGGGTAGACTATCTAAGCGGGAAGGGGAAGGCATTAGATATACAGTAAAAAGAAGGATAATAAAAAATGAAGGAAGAAGAGAAAGACAGTGGGATGCATATTAGGAGTTAAAGGAGAATCAAGGGAAATAGAGGAAAGAGCTGGGAGCAAAGGGCATTTATAGAGGTCTAGATAAAGACATGTGCATATGAAAATATATTTAGGGATTCACGGACACGGTTACGGGCATGGGTCACGAATAAATAACTTCATGTAAAAAAAAAAAAGAAAATATATTTATATGAGGATGGGGAAATAGATCTATGTGCCTATATTTATAGGTTTAGTATTAAGGTAGCAGGAGGACATTGGGCCTCCACTCAAGTACTCCCTCAACGCAAGAATACTTTCTTCTA